GAATATATGTGTGGGATTAAACAATTCGCTAATCGAATCTTTCTAGATTTTCCTTATCCATATGTATATAATCTATTTTACAGCAAAACATATAAAGTACCCAAATCAATAGTAGTCTGTTGGCCCCTTGTTCATGTCATAATCAATAGCAAACTGTCTATATCTTTCTATATTACTTGATAAATTAAATTATCTATTTGACCCAAATTTCAATCGGACTCTTGTTTTGATGAAATAATTGTTTAGTTATTTTCCCATTATATAAGTTTTCCTGAATTTGTAGCATGCTCCCTCGGGAGCATTCTGTAGAAAAACTCCTTCGAGCAAAAGACATAAATTGGGAGGATTCTATTGATCCAAAATTTTGGCATCTATGAAAGTATCATCAGATGATTATTTTCCAGAACCTTTTCGATTTTAAGTGATCTTGCACTCCGAAAATTGGACAGCTCTTGTTAAATCTTGGAACGTTAAAATATTTTGTGGCATTAGAGGCCTTATTTATTTTTTTCTTTCGTTGAGGTCAGTTATTAGGTTCTAGATGCTGCATCCTCAAAATTTAGGTTCCAAAAAGATAGTCATAACATGAGAATTAAGTTTTTAACTAAAGAACCAAATACACAATATGCTCCCACAGCACCACCAAACCTTTTTACATCAAAAGATGAACCAGGAAAGCCTAAACCTTTCTTTCTAGATCCTTTATGGCTCCTTAAAAGTCATGCTCAAAATGGCATCTTCCTCTTTATGTTGTTCAGGAGGGTAATAATAGCTAACAAGGAAATCCGATTTTCCTCTTCCGCTCAACCTTATTCAATATTATTTGTATAACATTCATTCTCTTATGTTTGTTTCACCTGAAACCTACCCATCACAAGGCCGCCATATAATAAATAAGAATGAGTATTAAATATTGGACCCCGTTTCTATGCGGCCAAGTTCGTATATGTAGAAATGCGGGCCTATGAATGAATCTATTTTTGAGATGGATTTTAAGACTTAACTTTTAAAGACATGTAATAAATAAATTTTAAAAATTAAAAATACTAATTCTAGTAAGAAAACATTTGGATCGTTAGTTTCCATTGTTTTTAGATGGAACATCAACTTGCATCTATCTTTAAGATGGATGCTTTACACTTTCTGAACCACATATATAGAAATGTGGTCCAACCCACATGAAACAATTTTCGTTAAATATTAGCTACTCTTTCATTCCTCCTCCCCATTTTCTTCCCCTTTTACATGCATTACATATATGTTCCTATGAAGTACTTGTGTTTGACACATATTGACACACGTACAGATAAACATATTCAATTTTTCCTAAATTTTCATGGTTGTTTGTTAATTAATTACATTCGGAGACTTGATCGTCTTTCATGTTTGGAAAACGTTTATATAAGGGTGAGGCCCTAAACAATTAAATTAAGGTGCACCTCCAAAATCCAATATAAATGGTTATTTTGATGTCAAAAAATCCTCAAATTGATCATCTCGGGCTCAAAATGTATAGATATAAGAAAAAATAGATTTCAAGTCATGGAAACAGTCCATCGTGTATTGTATTTTTTGACTATCAATTTTCAAGAAATTTAAAGTGTTCATAGGTCTGTTTGATGTACACTATCTTTGAAGCTTTGAATTTTATAATTAGATATGAAAATAAAGTTTCAAGCCATCATAAAGATTTCTGGTACCAAAAAATATTTTCCGACACTATTTAAAAGTGCGACTTACTTTGATTGTTTGGGGCCTCAGCCCTATACAATCCACGCCCTTTATGTTTTGAGTAGAAGGGTGGAACTATGAAAAATGTTTATGAAGTGTTAAAACAATAGATGGATTCTGCCAACTAAGTTGTAATTGTTTATTTCTTGGTACTTATCACAAAATAATATATTAGTAAAATATTATTGAATTTAATTGTTTTCTCGTAATATAGCCATATAGCCAAATCCTCTTCTTCATTATACTATTTTTTGAGTAAGTGTGAGCTTTATTAAGATCATAAAAATTACAAATGCCGGAAACAGATTGAATCCACAAGATACATGTGAGAAAAAATACTTGGAAGTCTCTTCTTCATGGCACTAGGAATCAGACACGTTCTACCGGCGTCACACACTAAGCTCGAAGAATCTAACACCCCATACCCTTGTTCCACATTGAGACACAGACACATGACAATGCAACATGCATCTTTTTCCTCATAATTGTGAAAATGAATGACAAGTTAAATTGATTTTAATTTTGTTTACAAAACTTTATATTATTAAATCAAGGAAGATAGCGAGTTTCCAATATTCTATTTCACTAAACTTAAAGGGTAATCCTCAGTTGTGATGAGTCATGAGATTGGGGTTTGGGTGGTAATACTGTTGAGTCTCGTGATGAAGCCTCTAACTCTATTTTTATCAAAGGGTCAGGGCCAAATCTTCACTGACTTGTCCTACCACATTTTAAAAAAAGAGCTCGGGCTTAATTGGTTAACACTTGATAATTTGCAATGCTAAGTCTTAAGGTCAATTCTTACTTAGAGTAAGGGCCTTCTCCCCACTACCTCACCCCAAAAAAAAAAAAAAAATGGAGTCATGAGCTTGCTCAGGAGGGAATCGGGTCTACTATATTGGTAATATTGGGGTTTTGTAGGATAAAAATAAACAGTGAAGTTTTGCATAGGATGCGTCATTTTATTGTTCGTATGTTTGACTAATATGAATTGATTTAAGTTATGAAAAATGTTTTGTGAGTCGGGGGATTCAGTAGCCCGCACAATCATAAACGTCCATTTTTAATATAACTTCGACAACTAAAGATTCCTATCCAATGGATAGCAAATAATTATAATAAAAATATTTTAAAATTCTATTTTATTTGTTTTATTTTTTATATTCATGATCATTATAGTGTTGATCATGAATCACTATAAATTTGGATCCAAGATCAATAGAAATAATGGGTGTTCAAGGGAGCCGCATGAAAATAGTATGAGTGGGGGGACTCATAAAAAGCAGGTCCGTCATGTTATATACTTCTAATATCAATGTGTTTGTTATGTCTTGTTCCGTTTAATGGTGAACGGGGCGTAATCCAAGAATGAAGCTTGTATAAGGCATTACTTTTAAATAATTAAAGTAAGGCGCACCTCAAAACTATGTTAAAAGATGTAGTTTCTGTGTTGGAAAGCCTGGGATGAAAGTCTATTTTTACTTTTAACTATGAAATCTAAAATTCTAAAAAAGAAAAATATAGATTGTTCAAATCTATAAACTACTAAAATTTTAAAAAGTGATGGTCTAGATAATATACTATAAGATACATTATTTTTGTTATTTTAAATTATTTTTCTTTTTATATTCATGTATCTCGAGAGATCTAGATAATCAATTTGAGGATTTTCTAATACAGAAACAGTCTTTTCATATAGGTTTTTCATGTGTACCTTACTTCAAAAATAGAAGATTGATGTCTTATTTAACCATTTTCTTTAATGCAAATTTATACTTGTGGAAAACATGGGCTCTTATTTTTCTTTTTCTTTTTCCTTTAATGACACAAGCACGGTGAGCTTTCCGCTTATTTTATGAAAAAAGTTTATATAAGGTTGCAACCTTAAAATATAGAATTACAGATGCACCTAAAAAATCCATTAAAAAATATTATTTTAATATTGAAAAACCCTTCAATTGATTATCTCGACAACAAGATATATGCATATAGGAAATATATATATATATATATATATATATATATTGAGTTCCAGAAATAGTGTATCTTGTAACACATGATCTAGACCCTCTACTTTCAAGATTTTCATATGTTTATAGATCTACTTGACTTTAACCATTTTTGGAGTTTAAAATTTTATAATTAGCTATAAAAATAGATTTTGAGATAATCTTAAGAATTTTTTACACCAAAATTCCATGTCATCATAAAATTTAGAGGTGCGTCTCAATTCTATTGTTTAAGGTTGCAACTTTATAGAAACCATACCCTTATTTTATTATCCACTAAAAGTCATTAATTAATAGGAAAAGTTTAAATAACATTGCAATCTTAAAATATAGAAATTAAAGATGCACCTCAAAAATCCACCATAACATATTGTTTGGATGTTGGAAAACCCTCTAATTGATATGAAAAGAAAAGAAAAAGATTTCAAGTTCATTTTCAACATTTTCATGTGTTTATAGATCTACTTGATTTGAACCATATTTAAAGTTTGAAATTTTATAATTAGAAATGAAAATAGATTCTCAATCCATCATAAGAATTTTTTATATAAAAATTACATTTTATGATAAAATTTAGATGTGTTTCTTAATTGGATTGTTTAAAGTTGTGCAAAAACAAACTTAACTAATTAACTACTGATAGATAAGAAAAATGCCTTACTTGGCATTTTCAGAATCTACAGGGACAATATTAGTCCAGATCTTGCAAAACATTATTTTAACAATTTATTAGTAATTTATGAACCCAAAGCGATCAATGTCGCAAAAGACACCACGGCAACAACTTTTTACGGCAACTGTAAAACACCATTTTCCATATTCCATTTTCATATCTTTTTTATTTTTATTTTTTATTTTTTATTTTTTATTTTTTATTTTTATTTTTATTTTTATTTATTTATTTATTTATTTATTTATTTATTTTTTTTTATTTTCACCGTTGTTTTCACCCATATTTCGACTGAAAAAAATTTACTCTGCGTAATAAGTTTCAGAATAATTAATGAGCACCTCTGTACTTCGATCTCTTAATCAAACCGCTATAAATTCCATGCCCATCTGTGATTCTTCTATGTATTTTTTCTTTCATTTTCCGGGCCACTGGTTTTCCCGGCGAGATTCCTGAGAATTTTCTGGCCTAGATAGAGATTTGTCTGCATATTTTACAGGGAGTTTTCCGGCGAAGATTGGGCCTCTTAATTTAGCTGTTTCAGGTAATTTACCCAAAGGAAAAAATGTTTCAGGTGAATTTCGGTTTTCAGTGCAGGAGTCTTTTTAAGCTAGTATTTGTTTGTTTTTATTTAAAAATTTATAATTTGAGCTAAATTTCTTTTTGTACTTCCCTTTTCTACTCTGAAATGTTTTTATTTTGTATTCAGCTGAAAAGTCCCCAGCAGGTACCTTAATGTGTGGCGAATTTTTCTCATTGAATGCGGATTTTTGCATTTTTGTCCTTTAATTTATTTCTTTTTTCTGATGTGTTTGGACGAAATTCTGAATTTTAACCTTTAAGAGATTTTAAGAACTTCATTATTTGCAGAAAATTGTTGAAGTTTCAATTTTTTTTTTTTTTTGAAAGACTATAAGAAAATCATTGGCGGAAACTTCCCTGAATCGACTATTTAGCAAATGTTTTATTTCAGCAATTTCGGAGTAGAGAGAGGTAATACTCAATTAATTATTCAATAATCGTTTCAATGGAAACTATTAAGTTAAGCTTCTGGAGTGTGAAATATAGGATTATATTTAGTCGTATAAATGCATTTATGTGAATAAATTTTCTTTTGCCACGATAAAACACTCAAATATTCTTATCTTTTTTTGACAATGCACTCAACTATTATTATCAGAATAGAATAGAGAATATTATCAGTTTATTTGAACTATTTATTGACATGTATCTATATACCATTAGGATTTCTCCGTAGATTTAGATATATAAACATTTTTCTCTGTACAAGGTGCCTCTTTTGGCCATGGATGTTGATTATTTTTTGTTGATTATTTTTGTAATTCAAAGTGAAGAATTTTATCGGCAATTTAGCTAGAATTGCTTATTGATTCTATTATTTTTATGGTAATATTATCTATTTATTAGTAATTTGTGTGAAAGATTATTTTTCATATGAATCTTGAACCTATATTTTTTATTAATAAATAGAAAGGAACCTTGAAGTGAATCTGTGTGAAATAGAAGATTTTTATCAGTACATTTTAGGCCTTCTAATAAAGAAGGGCAATGGAAGTGTATAACTGCATTAAAAAATTTTTTGATAGACAATCTGTGAGATGGATCGACAACGTAATGGATGCCTAAAGCTCCTGGTATTTTTAGTAATTTCACTCAAAGCAGATGGATTCTTTGTGGACATTACTTACGTCACAACTGCAGTAGCAAAAGGAGCAGGTATATCATGCTCTTATGTTAATTATCTCTTCCAATTGTGATTTATTATTCTTCATTATTCTCATATTGAAAATTGGAATAAAGTCATGATTGAGCTCTTCATGTTTAACTAAGCAAATTTTTTTTGTTCCCCTTTCTGTAGACGATAATTTGTTTGGTCTTATTATGATTTCAATTTGCGTCTGAATTTTGATGCAGTTTGCTTGGATGGGAGCCCTCCTGCTTATCATCTTGACAAGGGCTCTGGCTCTGGAATTAACAATTGGCTTGTTCATGTCGAGGTGAACCATTTTCTTTTCACACTTTTGCTAGCTAGCAAATCCTTCTTCTTATTCTTTTCCTTTTATTAATGAGCATGGGAGGGCCTCCCTTTATGATTTACCTATTGTTTTTCAGAGATCCTTTCTTTGTTAGGAGTTTTCTCAAGGCTTCTTACTTTTTTTGATCCATTTAATGTTGATAGGAGTATTCTTATCATAAATGGCTTATGTATGCATAGGGTTTTCAATTTTCAGGGAGGGGGATGGTGTAGCAATGTTACAACTTGCTTCTCACGCAAAAACACACGTTTGGGTTCGTCTAACCAAATGGTGAAGCAACTTGCATTTTCAGGGCTCTTAGGCAACAAAGCATCAATGAATCCAGGTATAGGGACTTTGCTTCCCTTATAGTTTTATAAGTTTCCCTTCTTTCGATAATTTCTATTTGGTATCCCCTTGTCTCTATAAGTCTGCTTTCGAAGAAGTTGTGATGAGAGTTTTATATTACTTTTGGATGAGTATTGCATAATTTAAGAGCTGCTATGTATCTGAACTTATTCCAAGTCCCATATTAAAAGACAAGAAAACTATTCATGTCTCTAAATTTTGCAAGCCATTGGAAATGATGTGTTGTAATTTAGTGGCCGTCTGATTTTGTTACAAAATGCTTGTATGTTGATCTTCTGAAATAAAGAGAGAAACTATCTAGGATATCTCATTTACCTTTTGAAAGTGTGGATGTCTTCATCAATTTCTGGGAATCAGGAAGGTCTCACAATTATGTTAGTTATATTTTCTTTGTTAGTCAGTTCAAGGTTTTGGTTTAGGGTGGTGTATTTTCATTCAAGTGCAATTGTTTGCAACCTATTTCTTCCAAACTGATCATGGTACCATTTCCAGACTTTTATAATTGGAATAGGGTCAAGGTCCGATATTGTGATGGAGCATCATTTACTGGCGATGTGGAGGAAGTGGACCCAGTGAGTAATCTGAATCCCCAGCTGCCTGAGAAATGTCATAACTTTTAGTATGGGAAAGCATACTATAATGATAATGCAATGGGCTATGGAAAAAGTACCATCCATATAATATATATAGTATCATTTCCCTTCAAGTTGATGTCATGAAATATGTTCTAAGAGAAAATATTGTGCTACTGTACTATTTCTCCAATTATACGGATATTTTGTATTTGCTGATATGTATCTTTCCAATCAGGCCACTAAGCTTCATTTCAGGGGAGGAAGGATATGGCTTGCTGTTATTGAAGACCTATTAGCAAAAGGAATGCGTAATGCTGAAAATGTATATCTCCCAAACACAATACGACTATGACTATGATCCACTACCCCTCTATGGCTAATCACAAGAATTGGTTACAGGCTATTCTTTCTGGCTGCTCTGCTGGTGGATTGACTTCCATACTCCACTGTGACAGTTTTCGTGCTCTTCTCCCTATAGGTGCGAAAGTAAAATGCGTTGCTGATGCTGGTTACTTTATCAATGCGTAAGTTCTTAGCCTTTTCTTTCTTTTGGAACCTCTTCAGACTCAAGACTCAAATGTTTCTACCAATATGTACCAACCAAGAATATGATGGTACCGATGATGATTGAATCTTAAAATTAAAGCTTCTGAGTTCTATGGTACAGAAAGGATGTTTCACAAGCAGATCACATACAATCTTTCTTTGATGATGTGGTAACATTACATGTAAGTTTCTTCTTCTGTTTCCAAGGTATGGAAAACACTTGTACACATGGATGGAGTAATGCCCATCATATTTATAGTTTATTTTGATGATTTCTTTAATAGTAACATGCAAAATGTGGAAACAATAATTCTTGAAGAATAAACTAGTGTTTCCATATTTTTTTACATGCATTCATGAATCTGTGTTGTTTGCGGTTGTACATATCTTGAATACAATAATACACATCATATGTTGATATTCTTGTTAACTAGGCAACCTTATCTTTTTTGAAGAATAAGCATTTGGAGTTACAAGTGAGTACCCCGATGAGTACATCAAATATTTTGACAGGTGTGAGAGCAGTGAGCTCAGGAGCTCCTTTTAGAGGTTACTAATAATGTGGTGTCCATGTTCTAGGGCAGAGGATATGTATACCATGCGCTTATAACCAGAACCCAAATTAGTGTGGTGAAATTGGATTTTTACTTGTGTCCAACGATGAGTAGTCTAATCATGTTGATGATTTTGTTCTTGATATGGCTCTTCATTGACATTTAATCGTCTGCTCTGCATTACTAGCAAACACTTGGAGACCCCACATGCTATTTATCTTGAAACCTAGAAATCTCACCGTACATGTCTACAAAGTGTGCATCACATTAGCCACATTTAGATGAATTGGAGCAGCATGTAAAGAAACATAAAACTCCTCAGAATATGTTTGAAAGGTTCAGGAGTTTGGAGACACACACTGTCATGGTGACCGAAGTCACCAGATATTTTTTCATAGAATAATTCCCTTGGAAAGGACAAATATGATTTACTTGTGAAGTTTTTGATAGCTTTCTTTCTCATTGTCAAATTCTCTTTCTGCCACACATACACATGTGGATTTTTGTGACACATTCATGTAAGCTTAAATGAGGAATGGATCAATTTCCCTGTGGGTTAATCCATGTGCATTTATGTCGTGTGAGATTCTACATTTGCATGTTGTTGTTATGGGAAAGTTAAATAATCTTATTAACAATCCATTAGATATCTCCAGAAAAAAGAAAAAGAAAAATGGAAAAAATTTATTGTCCATGAATTTCGATTCTAAGCTTTTTATTTTGCTTATCAGGATTCAGCTAAGAATCTGCCACAATCATGCACTTCAAGGTTGAAACCAAGTCTGGTAAGCCAAATGCCCCTTTCTTCTTCTCATTGCTTCAGTTGATTACTTAGCCAACAAGGGGCGTTTGGGTTTTCTTTTCCCCAAAACACTCCTTGCATTTCATACATCTTACTGATGAAGAGAATTAAGCTACATGCAGTGCTTCTTCCCACAATACATGGCACAAGGTATCCGTACACCCTTCTTTCTGTTGAACGCAGCTTATGACTCATGGCAGGTAGTAAATACTTTCCTTAGAGAAAGCATTCCATTCACAGCTTGTGTATGGTGTATGGCACACAGCTGGGTCGCCCCAGCCTATTCTCAAGGACAGACTGCTGAGATCAATTGTGGTTCCCTATGGCAAGTGGCCACCTGTGTGTGGTTAATCTCCACTGTCCATTGTTGAGAAACAACAGAGGATGTGCTGGCTCACACTGGCTGTGTACCATACACCCATGCACCAGCTGGTTATTATGTAGTGTATACTTCCCTTTCTCTTTACTGGTCTCACATAGTGCAGTCCTGGATGAGTGTATATCATCTCATGAGTACTTCTTTTTATCCAAATTTTATTTTCTAGGTAAAAAACACCCTTGCCCCAGGAGTGGCTGATCCTCATGGCACATGGCACAATTGCAAGCTTGATATAAAAAAATGCACTGCTAGTCAACTACAAACCCTTCAAGGTTATTGTTATGACTCTCTCTCTCTCTCTCTCTCTCTCTCTCTCTCCCACACATACACACCTCCCACATGGTAATACATAATACATTTCTTATGTATATATTACATTTGTGTGTTACAGATTTTAGGTTGGAATTCCTTAGTGCCTTGAAAGGAGTGGGGAGTTCTCCATCTATAGGCATGTTTATAAATTCTTGTTATGCACATTGCCAATCTGAGGTGCAAGAAACATGGCTAAGGGACGACTCGCCAGTACTGGGTGGTACGGTAAGTGATGAAGTTTATATTCTTATCACTACTGATTTTCTTATGAAGCTCAACTATCATAATAAAAACTTGGGCTACCTTAAGTGATATTGTAATATCATAAAACTTCCGAAATGAGAGAGAGAATGTGCAGCGTTATATAAAAAGTTGAACTAAAATTTTGTGCTGTTCTAAAAAATGAGAGGCTCAGTTTTGGTAATCTTTTAAAATTATTTTTGCAGTCCATTGCCAAAGCAGTTGGGGACTGGTTCTATGATCGTAGTCCTTTTCAAAAGATCGATTGTGCTTATCCCTGTGACTCAAGCTGCCACAATCGTATCTTCGACCCCAATGAATTGCCAGTTGTGTAGTGAAATTCCTTGCAAAGCCATATATTATTGATGCAAATAATATCAAAATGAATTAAATAAATCTATTCAATATTAAATATTTATGATTTCAAATCTTTAAAATTTATAATCATTGTAATTCGCAGGTCCAAGGTTCTTGGTCCATGAAGAAGTGTTCATGGGCCTTCAGTGCTGCTGTATTGATATATTGTGTTGTATTTGACATTTATTAATGCAATAAAAGTGAGCATTGTATTTTCTTTATTAGAGAAGCATGCTATTCACTTATTCCCTTTTTAACATATCATCTAAATGTCATATCTATTCTATTGGTTGGGTGTCAGTTTAGTTCATTTTAAGATTATTTGTATTTTAAATAATATTGCATCCAAATACGGGGAAAAAAAGGCTCTCTCTCTCTCTCTCTCAGTTGGGTCTTATTTAAGTCAAAAGACCATTTTTGTTTTTTTGTTTTTTTTTTTTGGCATTTTATGCTCTTAATCCTTGAAAATAAAACACCAAATTATCCCAAATCCAAACTAGCCCTTTTTCTTCCCACCCCACTTAAAAGTGTAGCTAGAGTGAAATCCAGCAATCCATGGTTAATGCAAAAATTGTCACAGCGTGATATTTCAGCAAAGGCGTTCAGTTGTCTCACATTTATTACTGGAGGAACATTTAGCCGGTTGACCTCGGGATTTCAATTTATTCAAATCTAAGCCATGTTTGGATGCCTGGTAATGGGGTTGGCAACGGGTCTGATCGGGTCATGGTTCAGGTCAGGTCCAACTCATTTGGACCCAAACCTGATCTACCAGGTCCAAAATATGGACCCAGACTTGACCAAGACCCGGTCCCGGTCTCGGCCCCGGTCTTGGTCCCTGTCCCGGTCTTAGTTCAGGTTCAGATCGACTTGCCTTGACCCTGTTGCCATCCCTACCTGGTAATATTAGTCATGCCTTTATGGCACTTGCCTTTATGGCAATTGTGAAAATAGACATTGCCATTGGTCTTTTTTTTCTTTTTTTTGCTAAATATTTTTTACTTTATTAAACAAATATACTAAAAAAAAATTACATAAGAAGCAAGCAACCAATTAGACCTCAGTTTCCAAAAGGTACGCAGCTCCTTTTTACACCATCTAATTGAATTCAAAGAGTCGCCTTCAATAATGCAGCTACTCCCAAGGTTTCTAGAGATAAAAATTTTAATTCTTTAGAGCAAAGCCAATAACTCCGATTGGTTAGCCGTGGTTAAACCAATAGGGCCAACATATGAGAAGATGACATCTCCAAAACAATCACATAATATACCCTCAATGCCCGCCAAATATGGATTACTCAAAGAACTCTCGTCAAAATTTAACTTAAAAATCCCATTCTCTGGTGCCATCCAAATACTCCTCGGTCTCATCTTTACTCTACCCATCAAAAACAAATTGATAAGTTCAACATAACATTTGGTTGTTAAAATCCCAACCCTCATTGGTAACCGAAAAACATGACCAAATATACAATTTGACTTTATTCAAGAATCTATCAAAAGATAGACTCTCTCTCTCAAAAGCCCACTTATTTCTTTCCTTCCAAATTTCACATAACATAATCCCTCTCACTATTTGTGAAACCAAACTACCCACATAAAGTAAATAATTAAAGGCTAACTGTGACATTATACTCATCACGAAATGGGACAGTGAAACATGAACCTCAAGTAAACTAAATAACCAATACCAAATTTTAGAGGCAACGTGGCAGTGGATTAATAGATGATCTCCAGTTTCCTCATCCGCTTTGCACACGGATGAATAGATGATCTCTATTTTCGTCATCTACTTTGCACAGCAAACAAATATTAAGTAAAACTTTACCCCTTTTAATCAAATTATTCACCGTCAAAGCTTTATTTCGGATAACTAACCATAAAAACACCCCCACCTTATGGGGAACATGTCATTTCTACACTTTGGTTACATCAGGTAAAGACCATCCCCATATATCTTGAAATAACAAGACTTGACTGAGAAGACCTCATCATATTCAACTTCCCAAATCACTTCATCCATAACCCCTTGGGAAATATAAACCGAATCCAAAATACCCATCGAATCTTTCTATTGAAGATAAGTATTTTCACTTAGCCTATTATACGGGAAATTAATACTTCAAGCAGCACAAAAACCACTCACTTCAATCATATCTAAAACCTTAAGCATTGAGTTGCGAAATCTTAGCAAAAAGTTCCAAATAAGTAAGCTTCAGAAAAACATCGCCAATGGTCTTAATCACCTACTAATGTAGTATTACACAAGCTCCACTATTGGCACTTTTTGGGATCAGGCCATGGGCTTGATTTGTCATAGTGCTACTGCTAACGATTCCAATGCTGTATTCGATGCTTACGAACACGGGCACACGAGAAAATAAAAAGGTCTGATAAAAGAATTATGAGCAAGTTGTGAAATAGACGGAAAGTATATCATGGAGAATAAATAAAACTAAAGTTTTTCTTTGGAAATTTTAGCCCCAAATTTTCAACTTCTTATTTCATTTGTATGAGTTGTCGATGTGCTCCTGTGGGAGCAAATTGGTTACATTTGTTCCCTCGTGCCAAAGACCCTTTCTTGATCCCAATTTTTGGGTTCCACTTTAAATGACTAGATAAAGCAATTCACAAAGAAAAAAGAAAAAAAAAAAGAAGTATATGCCTACACATGACATTTCAAACATACACAATTTGTTCAATTCTAGGGCTTGATTTTTTTGTTCGGGCACCTTTAGATTGTATGCAAAAAAAAATTTAACTTTGTTGTCAGGTTTAGTGCTCCACATCCCCAAAATTTAAGGTCCTTAAAAAGCATTATTATCTAGGGATTTGCCTTAAGGGAGCAAACGTACAATTTGCTCCTCTAAGAGCCTATAATATTTTTTGAATTTTGTCCACCAATTGTTGTAAAAAAGGAGAAAGAAAAAGAACCTAGTAAACCCTGAAACAGATGGATATGTCTATGCAGATGCATGTTTTTCCATATCACAAAACCTTTGGCTTCTCATCCAACCTTATATCAATGAGTTGGACGGTGATGGAGAAAGTCGGGGCCACATAGCACAAATTGGATTGTACGGTGGACCCGGTTAGGCAGATTCGATCCTGAGATGTTAATGGAGTATCCTTGCCCCGACCACACGATGTTCAAGAATTTTTTTTCAAACCGTGACTTGTATTTAGCATTCAAATTTCAAATCCCATAGCCATAGTTAATTGTGACCTTTTTGTACCAAAAAATAAATAGCCTTATAGTATACAAACCTTAATATAAAAATAAGGAGCATATAAGTTTGCCAAAAATTTAAGTGCTCTTCAACATGGCGCACATTTACTGTCTCCAGGTAAATTTCATCTAGGAATAATTTAAGCACATCAACTTTTCGAGATCTTACCACCTCAACCCAATGATCAACATAAAATTAAATAAATAAATAGAATAAAATGTTATGCACGACATACGTTTAAAAAGGCAACGTTCTAAGATTGAACAACTCAAGATTTATTTTTTCTGAAAATAATATCAAAATTTAAGGATGAAAAAAAACCGACGAAGTAGGATGTTTGCTTGGGGAATAGTTGCACAATGTGCTCCAGAGGTAGTAGGCTATATAGGAGCTCAATAAGTTTGACTTTTGCACTATATATACTGTATGGAAAAGCTTTTTATGTTCCCCTACAACATACTTTTGCACTATATATATTGTATGGAAAAGCTTTCTATGTTCCCCTATAACATAGAAGTTCTATCCTCCCCTTTATCCAACCGTTCATTTTTTAATGGAAGGCGAAGATTGCCTCAATCACAATGTCACGTCTCTATATTATTTTATTTTTAAGTTTTTTCTATAAATTGTTTTGATACCAATTTTGGACGTCCATTCCTTTATTAAACTTGCACTAACAATATATATATATATATATATATATATATATATATTCAATAAAATAAAATGACCAAAATATCTTTGAGAGTTTCAAGGGGTATTTTGATCATTATATTTTATCAAAAAATTATTGTTAATATTTTTATAGGTGCGCCCCAATGAGAAGATGGCACGTTCCAAATTTCATATTCAGAAAAATTGTATTAAAAAAACTAAAAATAAAATACTTTGAGACATCGGATCAAGATCAAACGGTGAGTGGCTCTTTTGATAAAAAAATAGAAGCTGGATGGTAAGGGAAGATAGAACTTCTATGTTGTAGGGGAACAAAGAAAGCTTTCTCTATACTATACAGGTGAGTACACATGAATAACATGTCAGAAAATGATTTGTGGTCCCTGAAGCCCACCATTAATGATATGTTTCCTCCTAACACAAGATCTTTTATATCCAGAAACGTTCAGATAATCTTGGTAAATAATTTGGCTAGGAGGGAGCTGAAAAATTGCTCCAAATCAATTTCTAATTGACTTTTGGTGGTCCATTTTTGAGACAATCAGATTTAGAGGTTTAAGCGACCAAAATTAATTTATTACTATTCAAATTGCTCACATTGCAGAATTTGTTTGAAAATTTGTCATAAAAAAATCCCAACCATGCAAGGAACATGCGTTCCCGGTGAAATCACGGGGCCAGCATGTACGTACACCTTTTGGTAAGGACTATAGGCCATGGGATTTCTCATTGAATGCCATTTTTAATTGATTTTCATTGCCTTTGGTGAGGGGCAAAAAAAGATTATGGAAATCATGATTTTTCAGGAAGAATGTTCATTCAGCTTCTTGAATCCAAAATCAGGGATACATTTTTTTTTATTGTTATTAAAAACAATGTTCTCAATTTTAGAGAAATTGTTTTTCTCCCCAAGCGTTAAAAAATTAATTTATGTTAGATTTCATATGGAGGAATTTTTTTTTTTTGAAATGAGTGCATAGCTGGACATGGCCTCAACAAAAAAAGGACAATCTTTTCTAGAGTTGGCAAGGGGTCTGGGTATGGGCCAGGTCCCGATGTAAATGGACTTGAAATTTACCATGTGTACCCGGATTTGGATTCGGATCCAACAGGTCCAAAATTAACATACCCGAACCTGTACCTGAAAAATACCCGAACCCGTACCCGACCCATATGCCAGCTTCAGAAGCCGAAACTTATACCCAAATTTTATTCTCTCTAAAAGGAAAAAAAAATGATACAATATCTAGACAGAAAATGATTTTTGGGTATTAAAATATCCTTCTCTTTTTTATACAAGGAGGATCAGGGAAAAAAGAA